GTGCTGGTGAGAGCACTCTTGTGCTCATACAAATGAGCAATTTACCAAAGAAATGTAATGGCCACTAAACATATAAAACAAAGTTCAATCTCAGTAATAATTAAAGACACATGATATAAGCTAAAAAGACATCAGGGAGTGAGGAGACAAGACTGCCCACTGGGAGAAGCTGACCATGACACAGCTGCATCAAGGGCTCAGCAGAGTCCCTGCAGAATCCTGCGCCAGACAGACCATCCAGGTTACTGTGCCGTAGTAAGTCATTGGATGTGACTATTCCAAGAACAAGTTAACTTTGCATGAGGCAGCTGCTGTCAGCCAGCCATCTGTGGTTCCTGGGGAAGACTTCTGCAGGCAGAGGCCTGGCAGTTGAGGCATGAGTATCTGGGTCCTGGTAGGGGAATCAGGTGGTATATCCATGATAGCATCTAAAGGCCATGGGGACCAAGGGAAAGTGGGCCATTCTGAATTCTGGGGCAGGAGGGGACTGGAAAGAAGACAGCCTAATGACAGACTCAACCAAGGCAGGTAAGCAGAATGGTTAGGGCTCGAATGCCAGGATAAAGATGTAAGGCTTTGTCCCTCCTGAAAGGAGAGCAAAAGTTCTGGGCAAGATAATCTGGGGCCTGTAAGGAGACTGCAGCCATGAAGGGGCCCTAATTTCCAAAGTGTCCCATTGGCTGCCTATCTCACAAACTCTTCTTAACTGCCTGGCTTTGGCCAACACACACACACACACACACACACACACCCCACTACCTCCCTCCCCCAAATCGGCTCCCTTCAAATTGTCACTCCCCACAGTGCTGCATTCATGCATCAGTTCTAAATAGTCCCACTGTTCAGCTTTAACGAGAAGTAATACCAATTCCCATGTTTGCTCAGAGAGCACCATATTTCATCAAACCAGAGCCCATGCCGGCTCAGATTACTGACCGAGACAATGTTCTGTAATCCTGGTTTATTCACATGTCACGGGTATTTTAGCAAAACAGAAATGAATGGCCTGCGCCACCCTAGGAAGTAACGGGAGAGTTGGGTTCCCGCCCAGGGGAAGTCATGCTTTCGCTTGCCACAGTTCTCAGAGGAGCTGACTTTGATGCTCTGAGTTTTTCCCAACTTTGAGAAAGAGAATATGGGCTGAGGAGGAGTCACAAAGTGGGTAGTTATTTCCCTATAAAATGTTAGCTCCACAGATGGATTTTGCCAGAGCAAAAATAAAATCTGTCATTGATTATAAAGTCCTTTGTGCTTGTTATTTCACAGATTTATTACACTCTGGCCCAGCGGCATGGGGAGGCCCTGAGATTCTTGTCTCTAGCGCCCCACCGTTCATGCCCCAAATGGGAACAGGCACTCACTTGCATTTCTTTTGTCTTTGAGGGCCAAGAGCTTTGAATATCTAGATGTGAATCATCCTCCCAATCTTTGGACAGGGACCCACAGACATGGACAATAGCCACTCCTCATCAAGGAAATGCCTGCCCCATGTCTTCCTTTTCTTTTCAGTTCTTGGCTCTGTGTGCTACGAAATGTATTTTCTGCACAGAGCAAGGGGCAGCCAGGCTTGAACCTCTCGCCAAATCTCCCCGAGTCTGAGTCCAGTTTAAATGTGCTACAAGCTCTTTCAAACACATGGTAAATAAAGAGCAGTTGTAAGGATCAGTGCAATTTAAAATCATCTCACGTTAAAACTTTATGATAACCTCCTAATAGCCTGCTCTTGTATCCATCCTAGAGTTGAAGAAACCAAGATCAGAGAAGGCAATAAGGTCACACTAGATAATAGTGAAAATAGGGAGAAAAACATACCCCATTCGATTCCTCAGAGCCATGTTTGCAAACCCTCTCACTTCCAAGAACTGGTTGACATGAGGCCACTGGCCCTGAAGGAGAGAATAGACGTTTCAACACAGGCTAGAGTCAACCTTCTCATTTAAACAAGAAGTTCCCAGGACTCCAGAGAGGCAATGGGGCTGCCTCAGGCTTACAGAGCTAGTTAGAGTCACAAACTGGCTCTGCCGCAAATTAACTGGATTATATCATGAAACAATTGGTTGGGAACGTTTCGTTTGGTATTTATTTGGGGAGAGGTTCTTGATGAAACCAAATGAGCTTGCTTTTCAGAACAACCCCGGGTTTGCTTCTCTTCCTTACTCTGGTGTAGAGCTTCATAACTTTTAAAGCATCTTCACCCCCTGCTTATTACTTCCTAAGCTAAAGGAAACCCTGGTACAGTGCAGGGCAGAGAGGCCTCAAAGACCAAGGGCCCCCCAAACCACCTCTCACCTCTCTGGAGATGCTCCCCACCCCAACCCGCAAGTTAAAGACTTCATACCCCTGGTAATTACAGTGCACTATTCTCGCAGGACTGTGATAATTGTGTAGGAAGCTGTCAGAAATCATAGATCTAGGGACTTATGGCCACAGTCTGCCATCTCAACTCTTATTTTGAGCTGTGGCCTGAGCTATTAAAAACAAAACATTCTCGTTGGCAGGCTCCACAATTAGCCTCATTTCCACGCTTGAAACACTGTTCTGCATGAGCTGAAATTGCACAGAGATTGTTTCTTGTCTTAGCGATGCTGTTTCGAGGGCTGTGCTGGGAGCCAGCGAGGATGTGACCCAGTGGTAATCTGAATTGCTTCACCAAACACATTTTTATCCCATCATCTCGGCTACATGAAAGGGGGCCACAGTGCTCGTGTTCAAGACTTTACAGTCCCGCTGTTCGGCAATAAAATGAGGCAAGAAATATTAGCCGTCCCTGGCTGATGCCTTAATTCTTTCCCAACAATGTCAGAGAATCTGTACCCTACAGGTTTTAGTGCCGGCTAAAGCCTGACCCTCAGGCTGGCTTGAATGGAGTGGGAATGAGTTAAGGAGAGCCAGAAGGCTTTAATGGACACGGATCCCGAATAGCCCAGCTTGTGTGGGCCTCCTGCGGACTCACCCTCCTTTTCACAGGCCTCGATTGTGTATGGCCCCAGCAGAGACAAAACTACCCATGAGCAGAGGTTACCCCCAGCCGGTGCAGGTCAGAGGCATTCTCGGGGAGAAGGGGAGAGGGGGGCAGAGGGGAAGTGAGGGGCACATGGAGAAGGAGGGAAGTGAAGGTGGGGGTGGGGGAGGGAACAGTAAAAGATGGTCTGGATCACATATAAGGAGAGACTCATCAAGTCCCAAGGCTGTGACTTGATCATCTCACCTTCAGGCAAACCAGTTCTGAAAACCAGTTCACAGAACAAATGGGATCTACACGAATGGGAAATTAAATGCAATGTGAGCTAATTTTCAAAAGAAATAAAATGCTTCTCTCTGGTTTTCCAAAAGCTACAGGCCTGAGGTTCAGAGACTTTTAAAGGATGGCCTCTAATTTGACACTGCAAGATTTTGAAAAATTACAAATGGGTTGTGTTTTACACACCAACAGAAGCTTTTTCCAGCAATTTTTCAATTATTGCATTGTGAGCCCTCCAAGAAAAGTAACTATTTTGGCTCACAGAGCCCCAAACTTACCAAGTAAAGAGAACAGAGTGTTCACAAGTCTGCAAATAGTCTTTTGAAATGTAGCATAGACAGTATTTGGGAGCTTTCTAGAAGAGCACTAGGTTGAATAGGTCCTTTCCTTCCCTTGCAAAAGTTCTTAAACTTTTGGGATTGGACCCCTTTTCAGTGTGGTTATGCCTGTAGATCCCTTGTCAAAAGAATGCTTTTAAATGTATAAAAGAAATGTGCAGGTTTACAAAATAAGCCAATTACATTAAAATATAGTTATTAAAATATTTTTTAAAACAACTTCACAACTCAGTAGCAAAATTTTTATTCATTCATTAACCAACTAGCAGCAGGCCTAACAATTACCATAATTTCAAATTAATGATGAGCAAAAATGATACTTTAAAAAATCTGCAGCAACTCTTGAGTGATACGAAAATATCTGTGGGTGGTGCCTACTGGTGACAAAGTCACTAACCCACTGTGGTTGGTTGCCTGAATGTATAATATCAAGAAATGCTAAGTTTCAGTTAGAATTACTGAAAACAAAGATGCAATTTTCCCCACGGAGTTCATAAAGCCCCTGAATTCTACCCATGAGGAAGAAGCTGTGTGCTAGAGTCAAGACAAAGTTCAGGACCTTCTGCCCCAGGGTTAAGCTGAGAGGCAGTAGCCAGGGACTCACTACACCCTCACGTCGCTGAGAACCCTTGGGAAAGCCACTGCTTTCTCTCCTCTTTCTCTGATGCTTTGGGAATGTTTTTAAAAGCAAATTGAAAGCATGTCATTTTTCTGCAATCCTGAAAGCTACAAGTCCAAAGACTAATAAGGACCTTTGATGTGTTTCTTCGACAACTGGAATCATTGTTGACAAATAAAGGGTCGGTTAATCAGCTAATTCTGAATTTAATCGGAATCTTGTTCCAGTTGCTTTGGGTTGCCTGAGCTTTGGGGTGAGAGCTTTTCTTTTCAGAGCCTGCTCAGGGAGGGTCCATGTTCCCCACACTCTTGTATTTTGGGCACACACTGGCTCAGAGGCAACGGGGCTCACACATATCCCCTCTCCAGTCCTCACCGGGGAGCTGTCATCTGGTAACCACATAGCCATCGCATACCATTGAAGGGGCAACACAGCAGGCAGGCCCCCCTCCAAAGGCCGCCCAGCCACCTCGCAGCCCAGGCCAGGCTACCGCGCCACACAGGAGCCGGCCACGGGGCTGGGGCTCCGACTCTCAGCAGGGGATCAGGGAGCGCGCTCGCCCACGCCCACGCCCCCCACACTCGCGGGCGCACACTCGGGCGCAATCCCCGGCGCGCGCACGCCGCCACACTCCGGCGCACGCACATCGCAGCCGGGCCGGGGACGGCCCTGTCGGCGGCAGCCCGGAGTGGTTGGTGTGCGCCGCGGGTACCTCCGAGGGCGCCGCCGGCCGCCCCGCCCCGCCCCGCCCCTCGAGCCCGCCGGCCCGGGCGCGCAGTGGGCTGCAAAGTTTCGCTGCGCGAGTCCGCCGAGGCAGCGCGCCGGCTCGGGCTCGGCTCGGCTCTGCGCGGCTCCGGACGGTCGTGACCGCTGGTCAGGGGCTCGGGCGGCCCCGACCGCCCGACTGACCGCGCGCCCAGCTGCCCGCCCTGCTCTGCCCCTGGCCCTGCGCGGATCCCGGTACCTAGCGCCCTCGGCTCCCTGAGCTCCCTGCGCGCCCTCCCGCCGCGGGGTCGAACCGCAGCCTCCGGTGCGCCCGCGCTCTCCCTTCTCCTCCTGGCTCCCGCCCTTCGCCGCCCTCTCCCCGCCATGGCTTGTGGCCCCGCTCGGACCAGCCCAGGGCCGGGGCTCCAGCTGCTCTTGCCGCTGCTTTTGCTGCTGCTCCGGGACGCTGACGGCAGCCACACAGCCCCTGCCTGGTCCGCACAGTCCGCAGCTGCCGACGGCCTCCTGAGGGACAAGCACTCCCAGCGGCCCTTGGGAGATGGGGCCGCCACGCTGGGCCCCGGCGCCCAGGACATGGTCGCTGTCCACATGATCAGGCTCTATGAGAAGTACAGCCGGCGGGGCGCGCGGCCGGGAGGGGGCAACACGGTCCGCAGCTTCCGGGCCAAGCTGGGTAAGTAGAGGTGCCCCAGGACCCCTTCTGCTTGTGCTCCCCCCTTCCTCACTTTCCCGACTTCCCCACCTCTGCACCTTTGCTTTCCTTCTTCCTCCTATTCGCCCCATCGTTCATTTTTTTCACTAACAATTCCCTGAGCTCTCTGTGCCAGGCCTTGAACCTCCGGTGAGGACAGCAAAGTAGCCCAGCCTGGCACAGAGTTCCTGTCCCTGGAGTGCTCCCACACTGGCTGAACTCAGACCACCCACATCCCATACAGAAGACTTTAAGCACAGAGACATGGGCTGGGGGAATACCTGTGTCATAGCGTCAGTTGTAATGGCACTTTGCAAATGAGGGCGGTATGGTGAGGGGGGTATAAGGCAGCCCTGATCGAAGTATGAGGCACTGAGCTCAGACAGGAAGCATGAACCTCTAGTGAGGAGCAGTTAGTGGTTTCCATGGCAGGAGAAACAATGGACTGAGAAGGCTCTTGGATGCCTGGGACTGAGGACTTACTTTCAGGTAGGGGCAACAAAGTGTTCAGGCTATAGGGCTTTGAGGCGGTGTCCAGAAGCTGGGCTGTGAGAGCACTCTGCCTCTCTCCTTGTCCTTGCCCCACCTTTCCACTTTCCTGGAAAGTGGCTGGAGCTCAGCAGAGGCCACTTGCAGAGGCCCTCCCTGCCCTTCCCGGAGAAGCTTCCAGGGTCTACCCTCAGTAGCCTGTCTGTCTTTGCAGCCTGTGCAGGTCCTGGGAAGGCAGATAGGAAGTGCAGCCTAGGCTGCAGGGATGATCGAAGACCCTGGTTGTCATAGTGACTACTCTTGGTGGCAGAACGCTGTTCCAGAAAATGTGGGTGGGGATCCCCTACAGCCCTGTGTCAGATGAGGCCATTCATTGGGGAAAAAAACCCTCTGCAGGCTTCCCTCCTGAGGAGGGGAACAAACCCAACTTTGGGTCCAGACAGCCTGGGGTCAGATTTATCACTTGCTGCTCACTATGTGACTTGGGGTAACATCTGTGTTCTCAAAACCAAGTATGAGTAGCTCAGCCTCCCTTAACTGTGGACGGGGGAGCACCTGCTATAAAAAAGCTTGTCCCTTATCCTGCACTGAGCAGACTCACTAGGTCAGTGTCCCTGGGCTCCAGGCCAATTGGGTATAACTCTTTTCTCCCTGGTATGTTTTATTCACCACCTGGGATTCATTTCTGGAACAACGTTATTAAATTAAGCCACTTAAGAATCCTCTGGCATTAGCATATCCCAGCGTAAATCACTAAAGCTATGTGGGCTTGAGCACATTCATCTATGAAATGGACAAGCCATGCCAGTACCTCTCCTGCAGGACAGCAGGAAAGGTGAAATGAGGTGGTATGTATAAGCTTGGAACCCAGCTCTGGCCAAATTAGGTAGGTGCTGGTGCATGTTATTCTCCTGGAAGTGCAGGCCGTTCCCAAGTTATGAATGAGATAGGTTCTGCAGGTTTGTTCTTAAGTTGTATCTGTATGTAAGTTGGAACAGGTACATTTACCTATTACCTGTAGTAGCCTTAGTTTGTAATTTCCAGTTGTACGTAAGTCGGATGTTTATAACTTGTGGCTGCCTATACAAAGCATTGTGCTAAGTACGCTGTGCTCTCATATGGGTTTAAACTTGACCTTGCTTATCCAATAACTCAACCTTGAATCCTTATAGTTAAGGAAGCAAGGCCAGCAAGGTCACTCCTCAAGCAAGGGGTGAGCATGCCCTTTGAGCCTGCCTACTTGCCACAGCTGGGCATAAAGGTGCATTTTCACAGAATGGGCAGTGCAAGTAATAATAGAGCATGGAATATTAACCTTTAAAAGGACCTGAAGACAGGACCTCAATCCAGCACTCCTAATTTTACAGATAAGGAAACTGAGGTAGACGGCAGCTTAAAATTAAGCTCAGTTCATTCAGTGTCGAGGGAATTTACCCTTAGGGCAGACTCAGAGATACTCTGCATTGATGCAGGCTTAATAGGGAACTTAGGGCATTTCAGGGGGCAATGAGGGGAGGGAGGAAAGGGGTGGCTGGTATAATAATAGTAAGAGTGAATAAATTGTTGACACTTATATGTGCCGGGAAAGGTTTAAGCACTTGACATATCTCAGTTCCCATTTTTAAAAATCCATAAGGAAGGGAGCATTAATAACCCCATTTTAGAAATAAAAAAAAAATTGAGTCACGGACGAGTTTAGTCCCTTGCCCAGATCACAGAATTGGGATTTGGAACTCACTGCAACTCAGAGCCATGCTTGGCAGCTGAGCTACACTACTTGGTGGCAGGCGAGTAACATAGTTGCTGTGCCCAGAGTGGCAGCCATGCATGCATGGGTTGCTTGGGATGAGGTGCTACTTCAGCAAGGCGGCGGAGGCCCACCACTGTGGAGCAGGCTGCTGCTGGAATGTTTCAGGACCAGTGCTGAAGCCTCCCACCTTGGTGCTTCAGCATGAGATGAGGGTCCTTGTCCAAACTCACACCTCCTCACAGACAGGCCACTTAATCAGGAAGCAGAGACATCTAAGGGCTAGCAAGGGGCTGGCTATGAAACAGCTTAAGTGAATCAAGCGAGGGGATGAAAAACTAACGTGCCTGGGCCTGTACTCTGTGCCAGGCCCAAACCTACCTTATTGCATTAATCTTCACCTTCTCAATGTACACACAAGGAAACTGATGTTTAGAGAGGTAAAGTATCTATATCACAGCACCCAGCCAGGAGCTAGTGATGCTGGGATTCATGCCCAAGTTTGCCTCAGGGTTCCAAAAGAGAGGGATTTGTCAGACAGCTCCAGACTGTACTAGAATTATGACTTTCTAGATTTGTCTGTTCCACCTTATCCCTCCCAGACCCTGGGCTTAGTTCTGATGGAGAGGTGAAGGGGGAGGATAGCAATGGCCCAGCAGACAGGAGGTGCTCACCACCTGTGGCAGGTGGTGCGTAGCCATGTGTAGAAGTGAAGCAGTTGCACTATGTTGTGCTGAAAGGCAAGAAGTAGAGATGGACAAGTAGCTGGGAGGCAGCCAGGCCATCAGGAGCCGGCCATGAGAATTGTGAGTCTGCCTGTAGATAATGGGGCAATATACAGCATGCATGCATGAGAGAGAGATAGGATAGGATAGGGATAAAAAGAGGAAAGGGAGACTGGGAGATATGTATATTTCCAGTGTTCTTACTCTCATAGGATCAAATTTTTAACGTGTGGGTGTTCCCATTTAAGATTACTGTTTACATTACTTGTCCTGAACTGTTAAGCCTCTTAAGCCATTTGCAGTTTGCCTGTGGAAACTGCTTCCTCATTATTGAGGCCCTTGTCTTTTCCCTCCTGATCTGCAGAGGTTCTTCACATAGTAAAGGTGAAGGTCAAAACCCCTGCTTCTAATAGATGATCTGCACATGTGTGTGGTAAAGGTGGCAGAATTCTGGGACCACTGCTGTGGTTGAGCCTAGGCCCTGAACGCAGAGATAGGGTCAGGTGGGGACATCATGTTCAGGGTGGTTGTGTAGACACAGGACACAGAGCCAATAAGGACTAGAGACTGGTTAGATTTATAAGGAGAGGAAGGTGAGGGAGAGCAAAGGATTCTCAGACTTCTGCTGGAGGGGCAGCAAAGCCTCTGACTGGGTAAGAGTCAGGGGACAGGTGTGGTGCCTTGAGGGTAGCTATGGCTCCTGAGGCCACATGCACATGGCCAGCTGCTCTAAGCTCCTGCTGGCTGCCAGTCACCTTGCTGTGAGTGAGCTCTGCAGAACTGACCTCACAACAACTTTAGAAGTATATACTCTGCCCAATTTATAGATGAGGAAATAGGCACCAGGCAATTTCATGACTTGCCTGTTAACTAGTAAGCAGGGCAAATAGGAGTTAAACCCTGTCCTTGAAGCCTGCATGAAAATGGATGTTCAATGCATGTTAGTTCCCTGGTGTTTTCTGCAGCATCACTGGCTGGCCCACCTCTTCCTTCCTCCAGCTTCTGCTGGTGCTTCCATCTTCAGCCCAGTGCTCTCTCTCCTATCAACTTGATGGCTGTTTCAGGGACAATGGATGAAGGGACATGTCTCCAAATGGCTTGGAATCTCCTTGTATAGGGCCCAGCAACTTTCTTTGGCTGTTTTGGCCTGAGATTTTGCCAGCAGGGAGCCTGGAGGGACCACTCTGCCAGGTGGCCCCTCCCTAGAAAGGAGGCTGAGTGCTCAGCAAAGTGGACCTGCTCTTGGTTGAGAATTTCCAAGATCCATAGAGAGATCAACTTGTCTAAATGAAGTCAGTCTTTTCCTTCTTAAGTGAGTCAGAATAGGGCAGCACCTGTGGCTCAAAAGAGTAGGGCACCGGCCCCATATACTGGAGGTGGTGGATTCAAACCCAGCCCCAGCCAAAAACTGCAAAAAAAAAAAAAAAGAGAGAGAGAGAGTCAGAACATCCAAATAATGAATCCTGTTTGAAATGTATGTTGCAGTGCATAGCACATGATCTTTGTCCTTTTGCTCTTAGGCAAATTGTGTCTATATCCTAGCATGTGGGCTAGAGCCGGACACACCGACTCTGCCCCCTGGCTCCACCCCTTGCCAGCTGTGTGACTTGAGACAAGTTATATACCCTGTCTGGAGCTTCAGCTCTTCATCCACAGAAAAAAATGCTCAAAGAACATCAGCACTGGTCCAGGCACATATGCTACAGAATACTGCAATTAGTTCTGTTCTGAGGAACAATATTATTCCTATTTAAATATGAAAAACCAAGTTTCCAGGGGAAGTCACTGGCTAAAGATCCTGCTGCCCAGTGTCCTCAGTTGGATTTGAGTCACCAGCTGTTTCTTTCTGAAGAATAAGGCTTTCTGGACTTTTGAAGGATGTGGTTATTGCCCTGTAGGGCAGCAGGCCAGGAACATCCCCCACCTCAATGTGGTAACCAAAGCAACAGACCCCATCCTTCCATTATCCCCGCTTGCTCAGGGTTTACAACAAGAACCCCAACATTAAGCATGTATCTTTGAGCACCAGTTGTCACCCAGACCTTCTGCTTCGGTCTAAGAATGCATCAGTGAACAAAACTGGGACACCCCTGTCCTCTTGGAGTTTATGCTCTGGGGGAAGATGAGCAATAAACAAGTAAATCTACGTCAGGATTCAAGAGGTGCCATGAAGGCAAATGAAGCAGGGGGTGAGAGGTGGGGCTGCTCTCCAGCCGCAAGAGCCAAGCAACCATTGATGGACATCCTTGTGCAGAAGCACGGAAGGCCGAGTGGTACCAGAGGGGGAGCCCTGTGAAGGCAGACTGAACAGTGAGACAAAGCCCTGGAACAGAAGCCACATAGCAGGAGGACATGAAGGCTGGTGTGACAAGACAGAGGCACGGAGGCTGGTTTTATTTGGGGACTGTGGAAGACTCTTAAGTTGGGTGAACCATGGTTGAATGCACCCCCCCATGGAGGTCCTCACTTGGACAGTGCTTTGTAAGACTGTGTCATGAGGGGATACCACACCAGTGCCAGGCTGCCTCCCCACTAGGCAAAGCTCCCCCGGCACACCTACTACCCCCTTGCCATGATCCTGGTGAGCCCAACCATTAGCCCAGAGTAGGAGTTTTGCAAATATGTTTTGGGAAAAGGGAGAAAGGGAAGGAAGGAAGAAGGGAAAAGAGGGCAAATTAAAAGAAAAAAAGGGGAAAGAAAGGAAGAAAAGAGAGAAGGAAGGGAGGGAGTAGAGGAGAGAAACCTTCCCCATGAGATAGAAGCCATCTGGCACCAGCACAATGCCACTACATGGGAAACAGGGACTTCTCTCTGAGGCTTCTCTTTTGTTGTGGCCTGGGCTCTTCTAAACCAAGAGACTTCAGGTTGACGCCCTGAAATGTCCAAAGAGGGCTAACACTGTCTCCTCATGCATTGGGGTTGGGGATGACCCATGTGGACCCTACATGGTCTTCCAGGGGGAGGTCCTTCCAGTGCAGGGCACCTAAGAAGGGATTCCCTGGCCAGAGGTGTCCAAGCCAGAGCAAGGTAGACCTCCTTTTGCATGACCTTAGGGTTCAGAATCTGTTAGCAGAACAAATGTGGAGTCAAAACTGGAACCAGATAAAAGAAAAATGAATCTGCCATGTAAGCTGGGTTACAGCTCAGATATTTGGATGGGTGAGTGAGTGGAAGGCACCCAAGTTGGTACAGGAAGAGCTTTCTCTGCCAGCCAAAGTTCTTCAGGTACAAGAGGCAAGGAAGCACACCTGGGGGCACCTCCTTTGTGCCTGGCACTTTATGTATGCAACCCTTCAAGCAGCTGCACCAGCACCTTCAAGCAATCATGTGAGATAGAGTCTGTTGTCCCTGTGAAGCAGATAAGGAAAGCAAGGCTCAGAGCATGGTGCAATCCCACTGGGACCCGGGAGCTTGGTTCCTAAGGTGTCTTCTAGATCTGGGGGTGAGGGCTGCACTGTCAATGAACTTTCATTCTACCCACAGGTCAACCCGGATGCTGCAGATACACAGCCACAGCCACCGGAGTGAGCTGTCAGCTGCCAGGGCTTCCCAAACTTCCCTGATGGCTAGAATCCCTGGGGTTCTGGTTAAAATATGGGGTCCAACAAGCCTGAGTGCCCACCCTGCTGCTGCTTTTCTTTTTTTCTTTTTATTTATTTTTTTATTCTTTGAGACAGAGTGTCACTTTACCGCCCTGGGTAGAGTGCTGTGATGTCACAGCTCACAGCAACCTCCAGCTCTTGAGTTTAGGTGATTCTCTTACCTCAGTCTACCGAGTAGCTGGGACTACAGGCCCCGACCACAACACCCGGCTATGTTGCTGTTTGGCCCAGGCCGGGTTTGAACCGACACCCTCGGCATGTGAGGCCAGTGCCCTACTCACTGAGTCACAGGCACTGTCCCTCCCCGCCCCCTGCTTTTCCTTTACTTCTCCCCATCTCCCTCCTCTTCCTCCTCCATTTTTGCCATTGAGAAATTGGCAGTCCCCAACCTCTCTGACCTCACTCAGTTCCTCATCAGTTCATCCAGGATTGCAAAGGGCGCCCTCGTCAGCTTTATGTGAGGATTGCAGGGGTTGACGAGAAAAAAGGCAGGAGGTGCTCCTGGAAGGCTTTGAGTCAGTGGGAGGCCCCGCACGAGCACGGGCCCCCTGGGCGAGAACCTAACCCATTGTGATCTTCCTTTCTACACAGAAGTGGTCAACCAGAAGGCTGTGTATTTCTTCAACCTGACTTCTATGCAGGACTCGGAAATGATTCTTACAGCAACCTTCCACTTCTACTCGGAGCCACTAAGGTGGCCCAGAGCACGTGAAATGCTGTGCAAGCCACGAGCCAAGAATGCCTCGTGCCGCCTGCTGTCCCCGGGCCCACCCGTGCGCCAGCACCTGCTGTTCCGCAGCTTGTCACAGAACACCGCCACACAAGGGCTGCTCCGCGGGGCCATGGCCGTGGCGCCACCACCGCGCGCCCTGTGGCAGGCCAAGGACATCTCCCACATCGTCAAGGCAGCCCGCAGGGATGGGGAGCTGCTCCTCTCTGCCCAGCTGGATTCTGAGGAGAGGGACCCGGGGGTGCCCAGTTCCAGCCCCCATGCGCCCTACATCCTCATCTACGCCAACGATCTGGCCATCTCAGAGCCCAACAGCGTGGCGGTGACACTGCAGAGATACGACCCCTTCCCGGCTGGAGACCCCGAGCCCCGCGCAGCCCCCAACATCTCGGCAGACCCCCGTGTGCGCCGGGCAGCACAGGCCACTGGCCCCCTCCAGGACAACGAGCTGCCGGGGCTGGACGAGAGGCCAGCGCATGCCCCCCATGTACAGCACTACCACAAACACGAGCTGTGGCCCAGCCCCTTCCGGGCGCTGAAGCCCCGGCCTGGCCGCAAAGACCGCAGAAGGAAGGACCAGGACATGTTCATGGCCTCCTCGCAGGTGCTGGACTTCGACGAGAAGACGATGCAGAAAGCCCGGAGGAAGCAGTGGGATGAGCCCAGGGTGTGCTCCCGGAGGTACCTGAAGGTGGACTTCGCGGACATCGGCTGGAACGAGTGGATCATCTCACCCAAATCCTTTGATGCCTACTACTGCGCTGGTGCCTGCGAGTTCCCCATGCCCAAGGTAGGGTGTGCGTGGGTGTGTATGAGAGGCACCTCTGTGCCCTATCTGTGTTCTAACTCCCAGGTCCTCTGCTATTGGCAGGTCCCTCTGCCGGTGAGACCTGTTTCCTTGTCTGCAAAATGAGAATAACAACACTGCCCTTCCATCCCAGGCAGAGAACAAAAACCAAGTGGCTGCCCGTTGGGTAGATAAAGCCCAAAGATATGTTGGGTTTGGCTGTGCTTTAGGCCTCCACCTTTTTAGGGGAGCTATCCTACATAGCTTAGCAACTCAACAGAGGTTGGATAGAAGCTGCCCCCTGTAGATGAGGCAAGTCCTAGAAGCTCCATCCTGACCGAAACTGTCTTGACTCTTCCTGGTGTGGAGAGCCTCAGTGGCTCTCTGGCTATGGGCTTCCTCCTCCCTGCAGCTCAGGGCAGGAACCCACAGAGCAACCAGCTGTCTCTCACTATGTACAGCTGCCTGCAGGGGGCACAGCAGTGAACTGTTTTTTCCATCACGCTGGTCCCGGCTTTCAGATTCTCACCCTTGGGGGGGTGGGGGCATGCCATATCCATCCATCTCCCTGGGGTGACTTGGCACTGAGGTGAGGTGGCACCCCCAGATGTCAGTCCTCAGTACTCAGTGCACGGTTTGCCTCCTGCTTAGTTAATTCCACTGAACCCAGGTCATGCCTTCCCCTCCAAGAAAGGAAGTCAGTGCATAAACCTTATCTGAACATATATAAATCAGCCATCTGGGAAAGTCCAGGCCTAGACATGGAGCTGCATTAACCTGTTTGGGAATTAAGAGGCTTCTTCTCAAATCTGTGCATGTGCAAGAGAGGAGAAGGGAGGTGCCTGACAGAGATTCAGGGTCTGCTGGAAGGGCCTCCCCCTGGCCTGGGCCGATGCAATACCGGAACTGTAGGCTTGCAGCTGGCTGACCCAGCACTTACCTTATCAGCACGTCTGGCTGCCTCCCCACCTTCTAGGACACCAGCCAGAACAAGTGCAAATGTCCCCTCCCTTCTCTCCTTCCCAACACATGAGGGCTTTCCCATCAAATGTACTACATGGAACACTGTGGCTGGTGATGAGCTGAAGTGTGGTTCACCTTGTCAGAGGTGGGCATGGTTTCCAAGCCAGGCCACTTTCTAACCTGAGGGGTCTTGATCAAGTTGCTTAGTCATTTTAAGCTTCAGTGTCTTCACCAGTAAAACACAGGTAATACCCACCTCATAAAACTGATAAGACGACAGAGTGAGCTGATCCACGTAAAGCAGCACACAGGGTGTGTCAGTTCCCAGCCCAGCACACTGGCGTGCACACACCAGGCTTCCCCTTCAGTGACAGGAGCATGATCACATAGGAAGAATTCCTAGACTCCTCAAACTGTGAGATCTGGGCCACCCTGTGGCCTTAGGCAGCACTGGCTGGGCACCTCCCCCACTTGTCTTCCAGCTCTTTCCCAGTTTCTGCCCAGTTCCTGCTGGTCCTTAGGGATGTGTGACACTCAAGCGCCCCCAAGTGGTCATTGCTATGTAGGGGATGTGACATCCCTCAGGGAGGCCAGACCTGCAGGAGGCCTTTGGTGACTTTTGGTGGGGGGCTGGGTCTTGTAGACCGCAGAGGAAATGTGTGCCCAGCCCTAGAATTTTACCCTTTATTCTAGGTTGGTGCCTTTTCTGTAGTCTCAGCCAAGGAGCAGCGGCAGTGCTGCATGGTCTGCAGCGGTGGGTGGATGAGGGCAAAACACTGAGATGACCCTGTTCCTTTCCTGCCTTGCAGATCGTTCGCCCATCCAACCACGCCACTATCCAGAGTATTGTCAGGGCCGTGGGCATTGTCCCTGGGATCCCAGAGCCCTGCTGTGTCCCTGACAAGATGAACTCCCTTGGGGTCCTTTTCCTGGATGAGAACCGGAATGTGGTTCTGAAGGTATACCCCAACATGTCTGTGGAAACCTGTGCCTGCCGGTAGGACAGCTCCAGGGTAGAAAGAAGCTTCTTCCCCACCCCAGCAGATTTTCATTCTCCGAGCCTTCTGGGGCCAGGACTTGACCAGGGGTGCAGCTGCAGACACAGGGCCCTAGAGATTACAGGCAATGCTGCTGGGGCCCAGGAAGATCTGTCCACCAGAATTTCATTCTGGGATCTTTCAGGAATCTGGGAATTAGCCCTGGCCTGAAGGTTGCCTTTCATTTATACCCACAATACCCACTGTTCTCAAGACCTGAAAGCAGAACGTGTCCACAGGGTTGGCTTGATGTGATATCATCTCATAACCAAGGAAGAAGACTATGCAAATGTTAAGGCATGCATTCCTTCACATGGAAAGGACCTCTGTTTAAATGTTCAGTTTAAAACACTTTGGGCCACATAGTTATCCTTGAAAACTGGATTATAATGGTATTAATGGGTGTTTTCTCTCAAACTCCACTGAAAAAGCTTTTATACATACAGTATGCACATATAACCAGTGTTGGTTTCTTTTTCTTAATATATATTTTATTTTAAAACAACAAAAAAGGAGGGATTTGACAACATTCCTCCCAGAGATAATCATGCTGAGTAAATGTGGGTTGTTGAAACGTACGTATTGAAATAACACTTGCAGTAATATGTTGGAATACTAAAAAATAACCAAGATTTTATATTTTTGTAAATTATACTTTCTATATTGTAGATTGTGTATGTTATGTGTTTTTATGGAAAGCTAATAAATTAAAGGTACAGTGGTATCTTGAAAAACTGACTGTTGCCCATTCCAAAACAATTCTCCCCATCTGTAGGTATAACACCTGGGTGTGGGGCACACCTTAGGACCCCTCCCTGCCACACCATCTCATTATTCTCTCTGTCTGTCCCAAGCTCCAGAAACCTAGTGCCTTCCAGGGTCCTGTCCCACCCACTCGGTCCTGCAAATCCCCAACCTGACCAGGTGTCTAATAAGAGTAGACAGGGCCCCAGGCAGGCACAGTGGCCTCTTATGGTACCCTCACATCCCTGGCAGTGTCTGAGATATTTAATGGACCATCTGTGGCTGTTCAGAGGTCTTTTACTTGGGGTAATTCAAGCAGGAGCAGATTCAGTTTGAGCAGTCAGGGACCTCTCCAGAGGTTCAGGGACTCCTGAGGGCCACATGGTCTCCTGTGTCTGCTTGTCTTGTGCATCTGTATAGAAAGGTTCCCAAATTGCTGCTCCTCAGTGGCTTCATTATTCCATACAGTTAAATGCCTGAAGCTGATTGACATTTCTTAAAGAGAATCAGGGTCCAATGAGAGGCAAGTGTATCACAGTCGCATCAGTGGGACCTAAGGATGACATGACCCAAGTTTTACCCAGAGGAGACTGAAGCCACAAGTGGTTCTCTAACAAGGTGTCCAAGGAGGGGAGCAGCCAAGGTGTCTGTCTGAGGTGTCAGGGGATACTGGAAGACCAGGGATCCTGTGCAAGGGATGTGTGAGGAAGTGTTCCCAGGGGACACTGGCAAAGAGGCCAGTCTCATCGGGATCCTGCAGGGAGAACTGGAGCTTAAAGTACCTTTCAGAGGGAGTATGGGCTCCAGGTAAGTGAGCAGGGTGTTCAGGACTCTTGGCTTCCAGCTGCTTCTGCATGGGGAGATGTAAACTCCCAGAGCCCTGGCCCCTTCGTGAGTAGCCATGGTAGCTCTGAAAACCTGGGAAGCCTCTGAAGAAGGCTGCAGTGGCAGTGGCTGGAGACCAAGGCACTGAAACTGGATAAGCTGCTCTCAGAGCCATAGGTAAGAGGGAGCCCAAGGCACCTGTGTGGAGCCTGTCAGCATCTACTCAGCAACTCGGAGGTGCTCCAAGCGGTTCTGTGATGTATGAACGGCTGCCCTGGGGATCCTGGCCTGCTGGGGACAGGGCCCTGTCTGCTGACAGAGACTGGGTGAGGGGTGGGATGTCCTCAGCACATGCTGCCTTACTCTTACTCCTGCAGGAATCGGACCTGGGACCACATGGTCTTGTTAGCTGCTGTAGATTACTCAGCTGGCCTAGACTGGCCTGCACATTTAGTGCTCAGCTTTCTATGTCTAATTCTTCTTGAAACAGTATATAAATTGGAGGCAAAATTGGTAAGATTATTGGGGCTTGAGAAAATTCCAGATCTCTTTCTTACCAATATTCGACCCCTCATTCCTTCCATCAAACTGCTCCCTTTCCATTTTCAGCCAAGATAGGAAGTTTTATGTAATACTTCCTGGAATTTGCCATTTCTGGGAGACCTTCTGGATCTTCATTCCTCACTTATTGGAGGTTGGGGAGCAGGCTGGAGCCTGTGTGCTGGGGCCAGCCACAAGCAGAGGGTCCCATGCCTGCACTGAGATAAAGGGCACTCAGTGGTTGCCATCTTTCCTGAGTGTGCCCTGATGACTCAAGGTGTGGAATAAGACACATGGATGACACATGTCCCCACTCAGTGGTGAGGCTAGTGTCATCAGTGACCCCTCCAATTAATAGAATGAGTTAAAGTATCTCATTTAGGCTTGCTCCAGCCTTGCAACTTACAGCCCAATTGGTACTGCAGAAAAATGGGCTCAGGAAGGCTAAGTAGCATGCCCACTACTAATGTGTCCATTAATGTCTTTCTAAGACCAGAAGCAACATCAGGTTTTATGCCTGAGGCTTTCTGATTTAAGGCCTATGTGGACCACACTACCCCTGAACTTGCCAGTCAGTGGCCCCACTACCCTTTGGGCTTGTCTCATTGGCACTGATTGCCTACACAGTAAAGTGAAGCTTATAAAGAAATGCATGCATGAAATAAAATCCAAAATATTGACATTACATTGTCACATGAGACAGAAGTTTCTAGCACATAGTTTAGATGTGCATGAGTTGCTGAAGTCAACTCACCTGCATCTGGGTCAGTCTGGAGGGAGCAGGGTGGTGGGTGCAGGGTAGCTGGACTCATCCCTGAAATTACATATCTTCTAGAAGGACAGGGCCTGTAATAGGTTAGTTCATGTGCCAAATGCAAACAGTACAGCTGAGGGCTAAAAACTTCAAGACTAGAATAAAAGTTTAGGAAGCTTCTGATTCAACCTTTCTACTTGAGAAGTGGGGAATCTGATTCCTGGTACTACCAATTGTCCTTCCTGAGGTGTCTCAGTAGATGTGTCTAAGTTGCTGTGTCTAAGTCACTCATAAATTGTGATCAGAGCTGTAGCCTATCATGAATCCTTCTTCTGTGGCTAGGACAGCAACAGAGCTGTGTCAGAGGAACTTATAGATGTCTGTAGTGAGAGTGGGGCTCAGGAAGGGGCTTCAGAAGAGGAGGAATGGACAAGACCAGACAGAGGTTGACTTTAAGGCCAGCCAGGGAGGAAGGGCTTGCTGGTGGAATAAGAATATTGTAAGGAGAGTTTGGTGACATCACATACCAAGGAGGACACTGGGAGGGCAGCCCAGCTTACCAACTCCAGCGATGGTTTGTGCATCAAAGCATTGATGTTAGAGTTCAAGACTATTTCCCTTTACCAAAACATGGGAGTGTAAGATCCTTCACAGATAAACTGATGCCCCTGAGATTTCCTTTCCTCTGCTCCCTTCTACTCCCCATGTTCATGCACGCTTAGGTCCTCTACCGGCCACTAGTCCTAAGTCCTGCTCCTTTATTGTCTCCAGGAGTCTTGTTTGTATGAGTCAGAAGTAGGTGGGTGAGCAGGAGAATGAACATGTTTGTCTATTCAGATAATTGGCATTTCCTATGTGCAAATTCCATGCTAGGCAGTAGATTCATAGTTCATCCCTTGAAAGGCACAGACTTCCATTTTTTGTCAGAACCAGTGTGCAAACTTGAATGTGCATCAGAATCACCCAGAGACTTGGCCCAGGTTGGGCCCCACCCCAGTGTTGTGTCTGAGTCCAGCTGAGATTTTGTATTTCTAACCAGCTCCCAAGTGCCTTTCCTGCTGCTGCCTCAGGGACCAAATTTTGAGAATAAGTGTCCTCATAGTGATATCTTCTATGACAGAAGGGCCGTTAGCCCCCAGGACGCAGCTGTGTCACAGAAACAGGTGGATCCTTTCTCGATTCCAAGAAGGAAAGCTGACGCGAATGTCACTTCTTCAAAGGGATGAGCTCAAGATCCTCGAAATAAATGAATCAGCCAAATCTGCCTTTCTTGTTCATTAAATTGCACTTCTCCCATTGCAAATTGTGTGTGATGACACGATTATAACTCACAAGTCCTGGGAGCAATGACACCATAGAGGCTCTGGTTAAAAATCACCACAGCACAGTAATGTCAAACCATCCAGGCATTGAGAAAAGGCAGGGACAAGGCTAGGCTGGCAGCCACCAGGGCAGTGGCACACCCCACAGAGCATTCCTGAATGTTCAAGAATGTAGGCAGAGCTGAGCATGGAGGACTGCCCTGAAGGAACCTCAGCCTGCTGTGAAGGCAGGACATACTCACTGCATGTGTCAAATTACCAAAGGGAGCAACATGAGCCAACATCAGTGGAGCAGTCCTGAGGCCCTTTGAGCAGTTGTCAGAGGAATCCATCCAAACCCAGAGGCTGAATGGGGAAGGGCAATCAGGACTGGCCCAGGTGGAGGACAGCAGGAAGGAGCATAAAATATTCCTGATGGCAAGCAGAGTCCACGCAGGGGCTCAGCTGCAGGGAAGAACAGAAATGTCCCAGGGAGCCAGGCAAAGGGAATCAGGGCAGAAAGACCAGGCATTGTACTGACAGTTGCAGTAGTAATGATTATATACTGGGGAGCTACCCTGCAGTGTGCTCCTGTGGAACACCCACACACCTGTGGAGCCCTCTGGCCCTCTCCCTAGACTCACAGCTCAGTAACAAATGTGATTCCTGGGCTTGGGCCCAGAGCAGTACAGGTGGGATCAGGCCACTGCTGTATCTCCTCAGAGGCTGAAATCCAGCTCCTGTGGTGTGGCTCATCAAAACATGGAGAGGAACACGATCCAGCTCAACTAGCCATGAAA